AATGTACAGACTAAACATTTTATGATAAGCAATAACTTATCTATTCACTTCACTGACGAACGTGAAACCATAAATCGTAACACCTATATTACATGTTGCTGTATATATTATAATATTAAGTAGATGTCCAGTTTTAGCCATTATTAAAGCAAAGTCATACGGAAATTTGTTTTATTCTTTTATCAGTAAATAACCAAAATATGGTTTAATGTGAAATTGGCTTAGATTAAGTACTCCGGTTGATATTAATTAAGTTTTATAAGAAGCGTGTAATATAAATGTTAGATTTTGAAATAGGTCCAATTTTAAGTAACAACCTTGATACAGTAGATAAAAATTAGAACCCTATTTTAATAGATTAGATATAAAGATTTTACACGTTAAATTGTTTAGACGGATATGTTCAAATAATACTTTTCTTTTGATTATAATGATTAGATTTTCAAGACTAGTTATTTGTACTCCTTTGGACTAGAAAACAAAAAGTCAGCACTTAAGAGTCATACCTGCACACAGTGGGCCACTTAGCAGCGAAGTCCACGTTGTCGGAAAGATACTCGAACTTGAGATAGTCCCTCCACTCCAACTTAGCCTCCTTGTAAGGAAGGAAACTTGTCATGTACCAAGCCGTGTCCGATACTGAACTTCCCTCCCAATACCGTTCCTTCTCCTCGGTCGGCAAATCGAAAAAGCCACGTCCAGCAGCTCTCAGTTCGTTTTGCTCATCCACCGAAACTCCATGGTTCACTATTTGGAAAAACCCTAATGTCGCAGCGGCCTCGCAGATCTCCTCCGCAACACTGGGGTCTTTCCAGTCAGAAACGTCGATGACCGGAATCACCGGTGTGGATAACGCACCTTTGCCGGTTGTTGCGGCTTCCATGATGAGTTTTTCAGTGGTGACTCGTTTCTCTGGGAGTTGGATGTAACATGAAGGCAATGTCTTTGGAGATATAACGTCGACAAGACCTTTTACTCCGTGACGTTGGTTCACTACGAAATCTGTAATAGCCATATCGGTGAGCCCGATTGAAGCCATTTTTGTTCTACTTTCGTTTTATGTGAATGATGATGATATAAGAGAATGGAAGGCAAAGGTGATATGCATGTATCAGTGATGGGTTGATACATATATAGATACATGATAGGAGCACCTCAAACCTTAAGAGAGTTTTCAAACAAAACTAGTATTTGTATTTTAATATAATTAAGTTATATATTTACACATTAGGTAAAAGTAAAATATATAAATAGTTTACAAATTTTATAATCATAATTATTTCAGTTGGTTGAATTTATTAAAATTTTAATCTCCACGCTTTTGATGCAAAACATATTATAATTCATAGTGATGGAGTATATGGATAATAATTGGGGAAACACATTAAACAATACATGTACCGCCACGCCCTACAGTAGACGAACCAATTATTACAAATAATTGAAACGACATTATATCAAATACTGTTTTTGTTTTAGTATATTTTGTAACGTTAGTCACCATCAGTTAATAATTTTTTGTAGAATATTAGTGTGATCGCTTTCATTCAACTAATATATTCGTCGTTTTCTTCTGTCTTCCTTGTCTTGTGCTTCTAAATTTATGTATGATTTGGTAAACTATTTGTAATGTTAACGCTTCACCATGTGTTGATAAATTTTAGTAAAATATTATTATGACCGGGTGATTGTGGTCGAGTGGTAAGGAGACGAGACTGAAACACCAACATGTTTCAGATTTGATTTATCTGCTACACAAAACTAAGTCACAATTATATTTGCTACCTAACACGAATATGGGTCCATGCTTTAGGATCCATTTGAATATTTAGAGAGAGGGTATATCAGTGGACTGCATCTCCTCTTAGGGATTAGTCTGGGTCTCTCCATAGACCTAGGATACCTCCAGATTAATCAAAAAAAAATAATTCCAGTCTCTTAACTGGTTTATTAACTTCGGTTAAAGACGGTTCTTAATTTTTTTAGATTTTAACTAAAAAATCTAAGAACCATCTCTTAAATAAGAGAAATAAAAATTGTTTCTTAATTAAAAATTTGTAAAACAAAAAAAAAATATCAAATTATGAATAAAGAACACCAGTTAAGTGACCGGAAAGATCTAAACTAATATGTAATGAAAGATGAAATGTAATACGTATGAAGGGTTCGAAAACAATATCATTGAATTTCGCGCAATATATAGATCAAACGTGTTAGCGTTCCAAACTTTCCTCTTACCGCTCACTTATTAAAGTCTTGGACTTGTGATCCCTTTCTTTTTGTGATAATTTTCATTTCAGCTAATTTTGTTGTTGTTCAAATCTGTATCTTTTGTCTTCTCATTCTAAATTTATGTATGATTTATTAGATTATTATTCGTTGTTATAATATATTTTGTATTAGACATTCACTATCAGTTGATAATTTTTGTGTAGATTATTTTGTGGTCCTTTCCAATTCAATAATTTTCTTCCTTTTAATATGTTTCATTTTTCTTCACGATTTAAAGATCATTTTTAATCTATCTTTATATGTATTTTATATATTCTTAAAATAATAAATATTATTCTAGAGATGAATTTGAACTGATGTATAGAATTTCTTTATTTTTATGAGAAAATGTTATTTTTACTTTTATAATTAGAGCTGTAAATAGAAATACTCTATATAATTTTTTCTAAGATATATTATATTATAAAAGTATACATCAGTGCAAATTTAACCCTATTATATTTTTTATGCAGCGAAATTATATTAAAAAAGCAAAGTAGTTTGGGCCTAAACGGCCTAGCCCAACACAAGGAGAGAAACAGACATAGAAGAGGAAATCCTAAGGGCCCGTTTTGCTAGTAAATCAGCATCCCTGTTCTGGGAACGGGGGATGTGATCGAAAGAGAGATATGCAAAGTTAGAGGAGATTTGAGCGATATTTTGCTTTTAACCCTATTATATATTTTCATTATTTCAGAGGAAAACATACAGATGAAAATAAATCGGGTTGAAATGGTAATTATAAGCTTAACTACCACAAGGATATAAAGAGAAAACGAGGATGACTAGATGAACTTACTGTTCAGAAATTTACAAAATAACTGATTCGATGCTTTTATGTGAAATACAATATCAACTGGGATAGAAAATTGCACATGTTAGCTCATGCTATTTTTGTAGTGACACACTATGTACTTTAGCTAATCTTCCCACATCCTCCAGTAATCAATGTCGAGCCTCGTTTTTTGTTTTTGTCCTGGCCAAAATGCGTGTTGAATTTGCAAGTCTAGTTTCGTTTCGCACCTCTTGATCATGCTTCTACTAGATGATTTTGCTCGCGTTTCAGATTTTGAAAGATCTGTTTTATACGAATACTTCGTTCGTTGAGATAGGTATTGCAACCTATTGGATATGAAGCAATGTACTAGTCGGTCTCAGATACCTTAGATAATATTGCGTGTTATCGAAGCATGTAGTACTCTTTGAATCGAATTCAACCAATACCAATAGCATTAGCGACATACTATTATGTTCATCCCCACACATGCGTATGTGTATACATTTTCACATGCACGCCGATAGATAATGTGAGAGTAAGAGTCGTCTGTGTGCTTTTTCATGTGTTCATGTTATATGAAAAGCTGTGAATGATTATACTCAAACGTGCTCGTCAAGTAGGATCATCATTGTCTAAGTTAAAAATGGACACTTATCCTGCTGGCTCCTCATCTCAATCTCCAGCTAAACTAATTGAGAACAATGATGTATATGTTGCTGGTTATTCCACCCTGAAAATGTAATCCAGAATGTAGTGATGGTGATGATGTGCTAGCTGCTTTCTATAACTCAAGGTGAAACTTAAACGAAGTGACTTGAATCAGTTCTATGTAAAACTAACTGATTGAAAGCCATAAGTCAAGTACTACGAAACGTATTCACAACCAGTTTGGTGGCGAAGTCCCACCCGAACGAAGGTGTATTTCAGATGAGGTACTTCTCTCATGCTCCTATTTTTTAGAGCTAATCTCCTATGGGCTTAGTTGATCTTTTATACCCTTATTATTTTTTTTTTTATCAAAACCTAAACCTCCAAATTAAATCCTTCCCGGTGTTCAAAACTAAATATTAACCCTTCCCCTATGGATTAGTGAACCCTTGGGTAAATATTTAAGTTCTGTACTTTTCAAATTTCGAAAAAAATGTATTTTAAAATCGTTTTTAATCATATTTTGATGATTTTAGTGAAAATATGAATTTTTTTTTTATTTTCAAAATATTTTTATCAAACTCTATAAATCAAAAAAAAAATATTCACGTTTCCAGTTTAATTTTATGAGTTTTCGTTCGACATATAAAATTAAAAGAAGAAATGTGTTATAGAAAGATTAGAAAATGAGATATATGGGTATGAGAGGAAATGTCTCGTTTCAATACATCTGACCAATCACTATGTCTGACTGCGGTGGTATTCACATATCCCTAACCACAAAACACACATTTATGCAGATGCATGCTTAGAGGGTTTCGTCTAATCAACTGCTCTTGCTGGATTAGACCTTCAGTTATCTCTAACCACAATGGTACATAGCTAATTTCTTCTCGTCTCTTGTATTAGATGCATACGTGTGATTGTGTTTTCTTCTACCGAACAGATATACATCATCACCAAAAAAATACACGAGAAAACCAAGGATTAAAATTAATATTCCTTTTAAATTGTTGCTTAAGCTATTCAATTTTCTATCATTTTCAGTTTTCATAAAGGTTAATTATGTTTGTGTTATTTTATAATACCATTTTTGCCAGATTGTTAATGTAACCGAGAAAAAAATAATAGATATTAATAAATTAAAACTCAAATAAATATTATCGAAGTTATTGAAGTTCTAGCAGAATAGCAAACATAAATAAAAAAAAAGGATAAAAGAAATTAAGGGTTGAAAAGAAAGGATAGAAAATAGTTTCCCTAAATTATTATGATAGAACACTCCAAAGTTGAATCAATCATCTTAAACCATTTTGCGCACATAACATGTTGCACTTAATCCCGAACTCAGCTTCAAGGTAGACAGTTTCTGTGGCAAACCAAATGAATCCTGAAAACAAAAAACACATTACATCATTACTGTATTCAAAAACAAGTTCACAATCCCTACTAATAAAGATATTATAAAGTACCCTCTCTCTGTATCCATTAACGTTTTCGAATGCTTGATCAGCTTCTTTAGAACTATCAAAGACAACAATTGCGCAATAGTTACCTCCCAGAGTTTTTGCTGACTGTCAAAATATAACAGAAATGAACTCGGTGTTAAGGAACATAAAGAGAATAAACACATTTATATGCCTTTAGTTATAACCTTGACGTCAAGCTTAAAGTTTCTTAAACGAAACTCTCCAGCGAGAACAGTGTTCAGTTTCTCAGAAGACACATAGGAAGGGATTCTATGAATAAAGAGCCTTGATTTCTCAGCCTCCAGCATCTATGGAACAAAAACAAAACCATCAGTAATAGCTGAATAAATGATAACTAAGTTTGTCGATAAATAATTTTTAATAAAAACCTCTTTTGTTGGGGTAATTGTTGTGTCAAATGGTTTCTTAATAAAAGCAAGTGCAATATTCATCGAGGCTTCTGCGTCGTGTACACAATTATGAGAAACACCTTCCTTTCGGACTTCCTTGCCAAAAACCGCCTGTAAAAAAATAATCAGAAGAATAAAACATTTATTCTAGTAAACTACTTCAAGAGTAGTAACATTAGTACTAGAGAGTTACCTTGTAAAGGTCATTAAGTGAAGGTTTTCTTGAATTTCTTGCATTTGAAAATTTAAACACGAGAGCTGTATCGATTACTTTAGGATGATCTATCTTCAACACTGGAACCAAAATACGATTAAATAAAATTTATGTTACAAAAAATAATATAAATATTTAAACAACAGTAAATAACATTTTTGTAGTTTGATAGAAATACCCATTTGACTTACCTTTCATGTCTTTGTTCAGACTGTGACCAACTAAAATGGCACCATTAGAAAGATGGGGCTGAAGTTCTCTCTGCACAATTAACATAGTTAAATTAAGAACAAATTGTCAAGGTATAATAAAAAAAGAACATAATACACAAAATGATATACCTGAATATCTGCCACCGAGAGAGTAACTTTCTCAATATCATTTGCAGTAACTCCGGTAATGGCTGTCCTATAGTCAACAATAGGTTTGTCCGGTTTCACAAATTGGTCAAGAAACACCTAATGCAGTGAATATATAATCAAACTAGTCAACAAAACAAATTGATTGTATAAAAAAGAACTCAATAATTTAACAAAGATACACCTTTCCATGACGGTCTACAGCGCCAACTCTAACCAGACCTTCAGAACCATCTCCACAAAGAACCATCTCACAGTCAACAGCTATCATGTCGGTTGATTTCATCACAGTCGACGACTTCATTCCAATATCGGATACTAACCAGTCCTGCTTTTATGAAACAGTGTAAACAAGAAACTTCAAAACGCTACAAGTAAAGAGACGATGATTCAAGAGAGGATACGAACATTGGAGAGTGACGGGAAAGAATAGTCTAGCGAGAACTCCCGATGCTTCATGGTCAATCGAATAAGCATCTGAACAGTCCAAAAGATCACTCAAACTCATAACTAGCAAACTTATTTACACACATCGTCAAAACATGTTTTCTTTGTTTGATTACTAACACTCACCTGCTCAGGAGTATCATTTTCAGGAGACTCTTGTTTCAACATTTCAACTAGGAGACGGTTGGCACGACATCGCAGAGTCTAAAGAGAATAAATTAAACGTAGGGGTGGTTAGAAATCAAAACCCTAGTAATAAGCAAGCATTTGATGATTTAAACTACAAAATCAATGACAAAAAGAAAACTACAAAAACAAAACTGCAAACCTTCTCGGTGGTGGATAGATTATGATCCATTAGTGCTACCGAATAAGTTTAGAAACGTAGTGACTTTGGCCAAAGTTCTATTGTGTAAAATGTAAACAAGAGTCGCAGGGTTTTTAAAGAACATCAAGAAATGTGTTTTTGGAAAATGTACCCATTTGTATATTTATTTTAAACAAATAAAACGTATTAACTTCCAACATAAACATAATCTCGAAATTTTCCAAAATGCTTCGTAACTGATGTCTTTTGAGAGTTATCTTATTTTTGGAACTAGACAAAACGTTCCAACTTCACAGTTTTTGGAACCATGCATGGTATGAGAATAAAATTTCATTATTTGCAATTAATAATCAAATAATACATTTCAACTTCACAATTTATGGAATCGCGCGTAATAATAACACACTTCTCCCCAATACAAACCATCTCCGCATCCCCAATCATCCCACTCCCACAAAGACCCAACCTCTCCAGCTTCTTACGATTCCCACCAATGGCAGACAAGCTCATCACCGTGGCGCAAACACAGATAAGCACAAGCTCTTGCAACAACAAACAGTGTTTAGCCAACGCCAGCAACCCTTCATCACCGATCCTCTTAGTCCTCCACCCATCAAAGAACAACTTAATAACCAAAGATAATATTATATCGAAGTTTTCCCATTAATCAAGATAAATAACAAAAAAATGAAACAATTTGAATGAAAGTCGAAAAACAATGATTATGATATAACGCATGTACATTATCTCCTTATGTTCATGTATTAATATATTTGTATAGCATTGTATTTGTGTAACTATACAATATAGTCTTATTTATACAATTAACCTGCTTTTTTCGGCTCATTTCTACCGCGAAAACTTAAACTAATTATTCTACTACATCCGATAATCAATGTCTATCCTCGTTTTCGTTTTGGAACTCCCGTTTCATTTCATGCCTCTTAATCCGCTTGCAAGGGGGCATAACGGGTAGATAGACGCATTCATATGAATTAATAAACGAGACATATTTACAGCCTCACAAAGATTAATAAGGTAATCGAAAAATAGACAAATCTCATTAGGTCGATAAAAAACGAGCAGAATACCAAAAATAAAGGATAGAAAATAGTTTTCTTCCTAAATTATTTTAATAAAATACAATACTCCATAGTTGCATGATCATTCATGACTTGTTAAACCATTTTACGGACATAACAACTAGCACTTGATCTCGACTTCAGCTTTACGTCAAACTCTTTTTGTGGCAACCCATATGAATCCTGATTAAAAAAACATTTTCCATTATACTAAATTTCATCGTTTTTCAAAAAAAAATAATACCTTTTCTTCGTATCCATTAACGTTTTCAAATGCTTCCTCTGCTTCTTCGGGACTAACGAAAACAACAACTGCACAATAATAACCTCCAAGTGTTTTTGCTGGCTGCCAAAACCAAAGAAAACAAAAAGTGTTGGAGAATATACATATAATTATATATGCTTTTGATTTCAACCTTCACATCAAATTTAAACTTTCTGGTAAGAAACACTCCAGCGAGAGCAAGGTTCAGTTTGTCAGATGGCACACGGGAAGGGATTCTGTGAATAAAGAGTCTTGATTTCTCAGACTCCAGCATCTATAGAATTTTTTTTAAAAAATACATCTTTTATTATAGAAATTTTAAAATAAACCTGTAATTCAATTGTAAGCTTATATTTTTATTAAAAAACCTCTTTTGATGGGGTTATTGTTGTGTCAAATGGTTTCTTAATAAAAGCAAGTGCAATATTCATCGAAGCTGCTGCGTCGTGTACACAATTATGAGAAACACCTTCCTTCCTGACTTCTTTACCAAGAATCGCCTGTATAAAAATTAAGATTTACGATAACATATATTGTAGTAAATTAATTCAAGAGTACTAACATTAGCAATATAGAGTTTACCATGTGAAGGTCATTTAGTGAAGGTTTTCTGGAATTTCTTGCATTTGAAAATTTGAACACAAGTGATGTATCAATTACTTTGGGATGATCTATCTTCAACACTGAACAAAAAATACAAATAAATTTATTTCCAAAGAAAATACAAATAAAATTGAAAGTTAAAAAACATTTCAGTATATTTTGATAAGTATGCCTTTTACTTACCTTTCATGTCTTTGTTCAGACTGTGACCAACTAAAATAACACCATTAGAAAGATAGGGTTGAATTTCTCTCTGCACAATTCACATAAGTAAGTTCAGAACAATAGTCATGGAAAATGACAAAAAAAAAAAAAGAAATTAAACACACAACATGATATACCTGAATATCTGCAACAGAGAGGGTAGCTTTGTCAATATCATTTGCAGTAACTCCGGTAATGGTTGTCCTATAGTCAACAATTGGTTTGTCCGGTTTCACAAATTGGTCAAGAATCACCTAATGCAAATCAAACGAGCCAAAAACAAATTGATTAAAGAAACAAGAGACTCAAAAATTTAACAATAAGATATATATATATATATATATATATATATATAATATATACCTTTCCATGACGGTCTACAGCACCGACTCTAACCAAACCCTCAGTCCCATCTCCACAAAGAACCATCTCACAGTCAACAGCTATCATGTCGGTTGATTTCATCACAGTCGATGACTTCATCCCAATATCAGACACAAACCAGCCCTGCTTTTATGAAACAGTGTAAAGAAACTTCAATACCTTAACATAAAGAGACGGTGATTCTATTCGTTTCTTTTATTTTTATGGAAAAAAAAGAACCAATGATACGTTTCTTTTATTTTTATGAAAAAAAAAAGAACAATGATACAGGAGATGCTACAAACATTGGAGAGCGACGGGAACGAATAGTCCATCGAGAACTCCCGATGCTTCATGGTCAAACGAATAAGCATCTGTACAGTCCAAGAGATCACTTCAATAACATTATTAGCAAACTTTTATATAAATACATCCTCAAAACATGTTTTCTTTGTTTAATATGTAACACTCACCTTCTCAGGAGTGTTATTTTCAGGAGACTCCTGCTTCAACTTTTTAACTAGATAACTATTGGCACGACACAGCAGAGCCTAAAGAAAGAAAGAAAGAAAGAAAGAAAGAAAGAAAATTTAGTGGTGGTTAAAAACAAAAACTCTAGTAATCAGCAAACATTTGGTGATTAAAACTACAATATAAATACCTGAAATTCCTCTTTCTTCTTAAAACTTGTGAGAAAAGCGACCAACACGTCACGGGGAACCAACGAAAGGTTATGTGGTGCTATATCTTTTTGATTGCAAACAGCTAAAAATTCCATCCATCCTCCTTGTTCTCCTCGTAGACCTCGAAGATTCACTTCCCTCACCAACTCTTCCAACACCTAGTCGGAATATGTTAACGTGTATGTTACGTAAGATATTTAAAATGTAACTTAACCTAACAACACGGAAGCAAAGTTGGATCTAACAAACAGTATTCAAAGAAAAAGTACGGACATCTTTCTCGGCGGTGGCCAGTTTATGATCCATTAATGCCGTCGAATAAGGTAGTGATTATGGCTTAAGCTGTATATTGTAAGATGGAAACTAGAGTTGGGGTTTTTAAAGAACATCCAGAAATGTTTTTGTTTTGGGAAAATGTACCCATTTGTTATAGTATTTATTTTAAAGCAATAAAAACGTATTAACTTCCAACTACTTAATCTCGAAAACTTTCCAAAATGCTTCGTAAATGATTTTTGTAAAGAGTTGTTTGATTTTTGGAATTAGAGAAAACGTTCCAACTTAACGTACAGATTCTGGAATCATGCATGGTAAGAGGATAAAAATTCTTTACTTTTCAATTAAAAGTCAAATAATTTGTTCCAGTTTCACATTTTTTGGAATTGTAAAATAAGTGAATAAATCTTCTTTTTCTTTTCAATATATTTCATTATCTGTTGAATTTTAATCTGCAAAAGTTTAAAATGTCATAAGTGAAAATAATTAAAAGATACATATTTAGTACTCTCTCTCTTTTATTATAAGTGTTACTTTAGGTTTCTGCACATGGACTAAAGAAACAATTAAATTTACATATATTTTATATAAATACACAAATATTTAATATGAAATGGATGGAGTAATAATAAGGTTAAAAGAAAAAGTGAATTGAAATGATCAAGTCAAAAGAAAACAAGAAATTAATACAAACGCGAGTTTAACAGGTTCAGTAATTCTCTGTTTCTATATGATTGTCAAAAAAATGTAACAACTTGTTTAACAAACAAAGAAACTGAAAGCACCAATCTTCTAATGAGGTCGCAATATATCGAATAAACTAAGAAACTAATGTAACTTTATCCATCGGCAATCGTTTGGTTTTGAATTTGGCAATGTCTTTCCACATCCACGCAAAATCAGCATCGGTTTCTCATAGAGTCGTCAGGTTTGAACTGTTTCTTCATAAGACATAGAGAGTACGAATAGATCAGAGGCTGAATTAGAAGACTATATAAGCCACTCAACTCCGTTGAAAAGTCCGGTTATATCACACTTATCATACACGTTTGATCATACATTTCATTCTGCAGAATGGAAGATTTTGAGTAATAAGTGAAAAAATGTTTAGTAGTACTAATCAACAATAATAACATTAAGACATAGATCACATGGTACATTGATAATGAATTGTTAAAGATCATACAAATAAACAAGAAATAATACAGACGCGGGATCTTGTTTACCCATTTAAAAAAAGAAAACATACTCATCAAGTAGAACTATTAGCTTCACTCAGCAACCATCTCCTTAGCGTGGAAGCCACAAAGTTCTTACTTGCAAGTAACCTTGTCTTCAACATAACTAACCTACCACCTTCTCCATCCCCACCACCATCAGCCGCCGGTGTCATCACCTCCTCAACCACCGTCTCAAGACCTCTCCCACCATCCTCACTCCCAATCCCCAAACCTTTCGTCTCATCTCCATCCATACTCACCACCAACGTCCTCCTCCGTTCACGCAGCCACTCCCTAACCTCCCCCGTAACAACCACACACTTCTTCACCTTCAATTTCACCAAATTAGGACACCCCAACGCAACCGCCTTGATCCCCACATCCGAAACCGGACACCCCTTAATACAAAACTTCCTCAACGCCACACACTTCTCCCCAATACAACCCATCTCCGCATCCCCAATCATCCCACTCCCACAAAGAGCCAACCTCTCCAACTTCTTACAATTCCCACCAATAGCAGACAAGCTCACAACCGTCGCGTCCACACCGATAAGCACAAGCTCCTGCAACAACAAACAATGCTTAGCCAACGCCAACAAACCTTCATCACCGATCCTCTTCGTCCTCCACCCGTCAATATGAACCTTCCTTAGCAACCCACACCTCTCCACAACCGAAACCAACCCCGAATCCGAACATTCGGGAGTCTTAACAATATGCAACGTCTCCAACTTTCGACATTTCGATATCCCGAAAAGTCCATAGTCACTAACTTGCAGCCTCTCTAAATGAATCTCAACCAAAGAAGAACTATCCCCACCATCATCCTCCCCACCAACAACTTTATCCCAATTCCCCAAACAACGAATTATTCTCACCTTCTTCAACGTCCTCGACGTAACTAACCCCTCAAACACCTGACCGTTAACAAGCTCCTTCAAACAAACAGACTTCAACGAACTCGACAAACTCAACCTAACCGCCTCGGAAGTCTCGTGAATCCCTCGTAACCGCTTAACAGACAACTCCTCGATCACTCTACAATTCTCCAACACAGCGTTTAACCCCTTAGCTCCAAAGTCACATGACCCGCACGAGAGTTTTTTTAAACTCCCCCCGCAGTTCCTCGCGAAATCCTCCATCCCTAGATCCGTCACCTCGCGGCACCCGCGGAGCTTGACACGTGTCAGACTCGAGCAGTGCCCCGAGATTAGGGAGAGCGCTTCGTCGGTGAGGCTGAAGGAGTTGCGGTCGCATCGGAGGGCGAGTTTGGTGACGGAATCGAAGCGGGAGAGGAGGGAAGGGAGGTGAGGGAGGATCTCGGCTTTGGCGGAGAGGGAGAGGCGGTGGCGGTTTTGGCCGTCGATTAGGAGCCAGCGTTTGGAGACTAGCGAGCAGCGTTTGCGGTCTGCGGCGGTGAGGAAGTGGAAGATGTGGGAGAGGCAGTCGTCGGGGAGGTTTGAGGTTAGGTCGTGATTGGTGGAGGCGTGATTGATCTGTAAAGCGGCGGTTGAATCCGTCGGAGAAGAGGGAGATTGGCCCATGTTTGTGTGGTGGTGCATGCGTCGGTCACCGAGTGGAGAGGATAAAAGAGGGTAAGGCTGAGTCACGAGTCACGAGTTGCGTTTTTTGAGATTTTTTCTTTCAAGTAGTCATCACCAACTCACACTCTATTTTTTTATCTTGGCCCATTTATTTAACACATGTTTGGCCCAATGGGCTTTCTTTTCCGTATGTGAGTGTGAGTTTGGTGTATCTACTCTAGATTTTGAAAGTTTGGATGAGTTTTAACTTTCTTTGATTATATTAAAAAGGTAGTATGCGAGTCTTTGACATCTATAAGATGGGAAGGAGCACACTCTGAGAGAATCATGGTCCGACTGATTCTCCCGCCATCACCTGCAAACGCAGCTTTTGTGGTTGGTAGCAGTTGTTGGTGTTTTGCAACAATCACAGAAAATGCTATAAACCGTTTCAAATCGCTCTGAATCTCTAAAATTCAAAAGCTGGTTCCAGCTAGCGTTTGCGATTGCGGGAGGATAAAAAATATTTTTTTTTTCCAAAAATCTATATAAATATAAAAATAAATATTCAATTAAATTTTTAAATTAAAATAATTGAAATACTGAAATATTTATATTAGAAAATTTCCAAAAAAAATATTTTCTTTAATTTTTTAAAATTTAATAGTGCAATTTTTTCATTAAAAATATTATATTTATCATGAAAATATGATTTTAATATTTTGATAATTATATAAAATATAAATATTGTTAATTTATTACTTAACCGTTGTTGTATTTGATGATAAACCAGTCATAAGTATCCCGCAAATGCAACATTTTTTATCCGTTGAACTTATCGTATAAATCTCTTATTAACGCTTAAAACCGCAATCTCCGGCATCTGCAAACGCCCGCAACCGCAATCAATGCGTTGTAACCAGTCAGACCCATAAACCAGTGAAATACACGTTACCTCCCAAAAATTAGGATGGAATCAACATGGTTTAAATAAACTTAGCTAGGATAATGAAGGAATTATAAAACTAAAAATGAATCGATAGAGATGCGTATCACATCGATACCAGATGTTAGGATGAACGAGAAAGCGTTGAAGGCCACATCACCGAAATTCACGCTAAACAGTTCAACAATTCGAAAGATCGAGCAAACTACCAAAGGCATAAGAAAATTGCTAAGATGCTGTAATCGTTGTGTTGTATTCATGATCATAAGTTACAGTATTTATACAAGTGTGGCCGTATCTAATCTTCCCAAGAATATAGGAGATAACAACGATAGAAGATAATAACAACAACAACTTAAGACTTATCTTCTAAACTCTTATCATTATCCTAATACTCCCCCTCAAGATGGTGCATGCAAATTACGAATGCCTATCTTGCAAAGAAGATATCCAAACTGTCGAACAGACAAAGCTTTTGTCATTATATCAGCTAACTGGTCTGTTGTGCGAACATGAGAAGTGACAATAGACTTGTCCTGCACAGCATCTCGAACAAAATGACAGTCAGCTTCAATGTGTTTCGTGCGCTCATGAAACACCGGATTTGCAGCTATGTGCAATGCCGCCTTGCTATCACAATATAAGTTCATAGGTCTAATCTGTCGAACACCAAATGCTTCTAATATCTCCTTTGTCCACTTCAGTTCACTCAACGTCATAGCCATTGCTCGGTATTCAGCTTCTGCTGATGATCTTGACATGGTATGTTGCTTCTTTGTCTTCCAAGCAACAATCTAATCACCCAACATGACCAAGAAACCAGTGAGAGAACGTCGCGTCAGAGGGAAAGCAGCCCGATCTGAGTCACAGAAAGCAGAGATATGCAGGTCATTATCTGTACTCAAGAAAATTCCCTGACCAGGAGCTCCTTTCAAATACCTAACCAATCGCAACACAACTTCCCAATGCTTGAGTCGAGGCTTAGATAAAAATTGTGCCAACGTATGAACAGCGTAACTAATCTCAGGTTTCGTAACCGCCAAGTAAACAAGCCTGCCTACAAGTCTCCGGTACGCAGTTGGATTAGTATAGAATTCACCTTCGAGTCGAGCCAAATTATGGTTCTGCTCCATCGGCGTTGGCGCCGGTTTTGCTCCAAGAAGACCACACTTGTTAACAAAGTCTAAAGCATACTTCTTTTGTGACATATAGATTCCTTCTTTTCCTCTTGATATCTCAATACCCAAGAAATATCGTAAAACACCCAAGTCTTTCATGTGAAAACACCTACTCAAATAAGACTTGAAAGATGAGATAAGAGTCGAATCATTTCCTCCCACAATCAAATCATCCACATACACGAGAACAAAGATAGAATGACCATCCCGATTCAGTGTAAAAAGAGAGTAATCCTTGTAGTTTTTCTTAAAGCCAAACTCGAGCAAGGCAGTAGAAAGTTTTGAAAACCAGCAGCGTGGAGATTGCCGAAGTCCATAAATCGATTTCTTAAGCTTACAAACTCTCTTATCATCTGAAACAGAGAAACCAGGAGGCAACTTCATATAAACTTCCTCCTCTAAGTCTCCAAGGAGAAATGCGTTATGCACGTCCATCTGAAACAACTCCCATCCTCTGGCTGCAGCTACTTGAAGAACAATCCTCACTGTTGTCATTTTAACTATCGGCGCAAACGTCTCCTTGTAATCAATACCTTCTTCTTGATTGTTTCCAAGAGCCACCAGCCTCGATTTATGACGATTGATGCTTCCATCAGCATTATACTTGATCTTATACACCCACATACACCCAATGGCTGTCTTTCCCGGAGGAAGCTCCATAATAGTCCAAGTATCCCTTTCTTCCAAGGCTAGGACCTCAAGTTTCATCGAACCTCGCCAAACCTCATGTTTTACTGCCTCTTTGTATGAAGTTGGTTCAATATTCTCAACAATCGTTGCAGCAGAACTCTGCATTGAAGGAGAGAGACGATGATAGGACATGTACTTATCTAAATGATATAAACATGTACCTGAAGACTTTGTGGCAGTAGGTTGAGAGACGTCCGAGGGTTTATCACTTAGCTGAGCTGAGTACGTCACATAGTCATTGAGTAACACCGACGGCTTCTTTGTTTGCATTCCTCTTCCCATAGCTCCTCAGAAACAGAGGCTGGAGTAGTGTTCTCATTGTTTATTGTCGTACTGTCAGCAGCTCCCCCTTGCTTAGAAACTACTCCCACTGTCTCGTGTCCCCCATTAGAAGAAGGTGAGATCAAAGGTACTGCTACAACGACAGAGGGATCATGATCAAACATCGATGACGTAGGTGTGTTAACATGCGGTATCGTCATGGTCTTCTCATGTTTTGATTCAGCAAACGGAAACTTATCTTCTTGAAAAACAACATCTCTGGAGACGAACAAGTGTTCTGTCTCTAGATCGCCCACAAGCCATCCCTTCTTTCCCATTGGATAGTCAAGAAACACACAGCGGATACTACGAGAGTCAAACTTGTCCTTGTCCCGCGAAATACGCCTTGCAAAACACAATGTCCCAAACACTCGTAGATTATCATATGAAGGAGGAACACCATAAAGACACTCATACGGGGTTTTGTTTTGTAGCAGAGGTGTCGGAGTCCTATTGATTAGGTAAGTTGTAGTCAGAACGCTTTCGCCCCAATATTTCTTTGGTAAGCTTGCTTGAAACAAAAGAGCTCGAGCCACGTTCAAAATATGTCGATGCTTACGTTCCACCCTGCCGTTCCGTTGTGGTGTTTCTACGCAGGATGTCTGATGAACAATGCCTTCATCGGCAAAGAATTTTCGTAAACAGGTGAATTCCGTGCCATTATCAGTCCGTATGATCTTGATTTGCTTTTGAAATTGTCTGTAGACAAAAGAACAAAACGTTTTCAAAGCTCCTGGTGCTTCTTTCTTTTCTAACAACAGAACTGTCCAAACAGCTCTCGAGAAGTCGTCAACAATGGTAAGAAAATAGCGAGATCCATTGGTAGAAGGTTCCCGATAGGGTCCCCAAAGATCACAGTGAATTAAATGAAATGGCTCAACTGTTTTATTAATACTGATAGAAAAAACGTCTCGAGTTTGTTTTGCTCGAAGACAAACACCACAAGATTGCTCTAAAACTCCTAAGCTACTTGAAAAACCACCAGTTGTAGCCAACACTGAAAGCACTTTTGAAGAGGGGTGTCCCATACGATGGTGCCACAAATCTCTGTCCTGAAGCTTGACTGCACGACCAGCTTGCACTGCCACTGCGCCATCATAGTGATAAACCCCGTTACGTTCTCTACCCGCACCAATCAAAGTCTTCGAACTGAGGTCCTGTATCACACAAAATCGCTTAGTAAAAAGCACAAAACTCGCAACATCTCGAAGTAATTGAGCAACTAAGATAAGTGTGATCGATAGAGAAGGTGCAAGAAAGACATGTCTTAGTATAAGACGACCCCCAAGACTCAAACTACCATGACTTGTAGCCCAAGTAATCTGTCCATTTGGCAACAAAATTGGACACGGTGCAATACTCACCATGTCCGTGAGTAAAACAAGCTTCTTTCGTCATATGGTGAGAAGCACTAGAGTCGATAATAATATCATACCGACGATCTTTACCAAACAAGAGCAATTTTTCTTTCTTACCATAGTGTTTGTTATCGGACTGAGTCAAACTTTGATTCTTCATGAACTGAGCTAATGTAGCCCACTGATCTTTATTAAAATTGGGTTTCCAGCTGGAAGAGACGAAGTAGACCCCTCTGAAACTGATGTGGTGTCTCCTACTTGTGTGTTGTAAGCACGAAAACCAGATCCTCTACCACGACGTCCTTGACCTTGATTATCAGAACCTCTCCCTCGAGATCCTCTATCTCCTCCTCGTCCTCCATTAGGTTTACCCTTCTCCCACCAATCGGGAAAACCAATAAGTTGAAAACAGGCGGTGGAATCATGCCCCTGCTTCCCACAATGTGAACACACGGTTGATGGTTTGCTAAAACGTGTTGCAGAAGCTTGTCCATTGACCGTGTTAATCTGAGTTGCCGTCGAAGTTGCCGAAAAACCAACTGCTGGTGTTCTTTCTTCTGCTCCACGCATCACATTAAGATGA